TTTGAAAAGATACAGTCAGGAATCTAGACTGGTGCTATTCAGGTGGTATTCAGAATTACTGGTTCATGAAAATATAAGTACAGAAATCTTACAGCAATTCAATATTACCATGGCATCAAAGCACAATAAATTTGTCTTATTGGATAGGATTAGGAGCAAAAGTATCAGCCCATAATAGCCTGGAAATTAAAAGAAAACATATTCAACACCAATAATTTGAGAAATACTATTGATGAATACTTTCTTATGTGGAACTGTAATTTTCCTCCAAATGACTGCATACATGAGCTAATTCCTGAATGCACTCAGGATTACTATAATATCAATTAATTTGGTTTGTAAAGGAGCTTTATGGGAGATTTGTTGAACTACAAAGAGTAATGTCACAGATTTTTAAAAAATATAATCCTTTAATCCATTCATCCCTTTAGTAGGTCTTTGATTCAATAAATGTTTATTGTTGGCCTATCATGTGTCTAGTAAGTAAGAGAAACCGATCTCTGGCCATGTAAAGTAATCAGGCAACAGCAATATGGTACACATAAGTTCACAATGTGGGCAGTACTGTTCCAAGGGCACCCAGGGGAGGGCAGAGTCTCTATGCCTAAAAATAAATAACTCTTAAAATGCTAATAATTCACAAACTGGAAAAAATACTTGAGTCACTCCTTACATATTTTGATACAAATATTTTTTGAGTGCTTATGCTTTACTCATGCTGAACCATGTACTGTTTTATGTGTGGCAGATATGTTCGTGGATGAAATAGACACAGTCTCTGCCATATGGGGCTGTGATCCAGTTCAAGGAAACCAATAAATGGACAAGAGGACCTCCAGGGTTTAGGAGCTCCAGGAGGAAACAAAGCAGGGTGATGTGGGTAGAGTGTGGATGAACATATTGCAGAGGCTCCTGAGAGGAGAGCTACCTTAGGAGGCACTGAGCTGGGACACAAGGAGGATATCCTGAGAATAGGGGCGGGGAACTGCACAGAGCAAGTGTGAAGGCTTTAAATCGAGATTAAGGTTGGCCCAGGTGGGTATTTTCATGGGTACAAACTTAGTCCATTTTGTGCTCCTATAATGCAACATCACGGACCAGGTATTATATAAACAAATTTATTTTTCCATAGTCTGGAGGCTTGGAAATCCAAGATTTCCCTCAGGTTTGTTGCCTGGTAGCACCCATTCTCCACTTTCAGGATGATGTCTTGCATCCTCCAGAAGGGAAAAACATTGTTTCTTACCTGGCAGGACTGAAAAGCCCTTTATTTTGTTTTTGTTTTGTTTTGTTTTTTAGTACCAAGGATGAAACTCAGGATCTTGTGCTCATCAGGCAGGCGCAGGCATCACTGAGCTAAATCCCAGCCCTTGAAAAGCCCTTTAATAAAGAGCACTAAATGCCACCTCTGAAAGGTCTCCCTTCCTATTATTGTTACACGATGGCAATAAAATTTCAAGATGAGTTTTAGAGGTCACCAACATCCAAACCGAAGCAGTCAGCATGTTTCTCCCTAGATTGCCAACATGTTTTGAATTACAGTAGGTAAGAAGGAGAGGCCAGAGGGTCCCAGAGCAGTCAAAATCCTAGTGAGAAGCAGCACAAAGGAAAGTATAGGGAGATTATAGGCTCCAGAGTATCATGATATGATGTATGTTAAAAAACAATCTGTTGGGTTCTTGTGGATGCAGAGGAACAAGTGTGGGAGAAGAAAGATGAGAGAGGCTGGAGCAGTGATCCAGTGGGAGGGGTGGTGGAGTAGGGTGATACCAGTCAAAGTGGAGAGCAGGAAAAGCAGACAGGTTTTTGCTGGTGGCTTGAATGTGGGAAGCCGAGGAAAGAGAGGGGCCAAGAATGGTCCCTGGACTTTTGTATACATAACCGGATGGTGGCAGTTACTGTGATGAGGAGTACTGGGGGTATTCAGTCCTGGGAGTACGGGGTTGAGACTTCTATTCGGAGCATATTGAATTTGAAATTCCCATTAGGCATCCAGGTGGCGACTTTGCAGATGCAGGCAGTCAGGATAGTGTTAGGTCTGAGCATATACATTCAGACATAGAGGTGGTATTTAAAACCGCGGGACTGCAAGAGATCACCTAGGCAGTGATGGCAAGTCTTCTACAGTGTTCAATGAGACAAATAGCCTGCTGTGGCGCACATGCCATAGATTTGCCACCACTGCCCTAGAGAGAGGAAGAAGAGAAGCAAGGAGAGGAGAGGAGGGGGCCAAGGGCTGAGCCACCTGCCAGGAATTAAGGTTGCACTAGCATTTAGAGAGGACAAGCACCCAAGGAGGGAAATTTGACTCGGTATTTGAGAGCTACTACAGTATATGCTTTGTTCAGTTTGGATCTGCTGCAAAGATGCTTATGCCTTGATTATGTGTAGGTCTTTCACATGGAGTTGGTAATCTTAGTGGACAATGTGGGTACTCTGCCCAGCGCTTCCTGATCCCTTTGACAGTGTTCCAGGGTGTTGGTTTCACTGTTCTTTTCCTCCTTACAGATAGTTCATGTGTCCCTCCACTGCACCCAACCTTGGGAGTCTCTACCTCCCTAGTAGACAGGCATACTAGACCCTACCCTAAAGGTTCTTAACCAGTAGCTGAAGGCTGGAGGACTATGAGAGCTGGCTTCCTTTCCTCTCAGGCATAGTTTACTTTCCAGAGCTCCTTTGTAGGGTCATACAGACGCTGTCTTCTGAAGGGGCCACAGTAGCACTTTTCCTGTGCTTTATAGGCATCATCTCCTTAACACGTCATCTGGCTCCAGGCAATTTGAAACATATTCTGCCCTTCTCTCCCCCATTCTCCACTCAGATGGTACATATTAGTATAGTGTCATCCTTTTCTCTTAAATTTAGAAATGAGATTCAATGACATATTTTAGAATACTCCCAACTTCTTAAACTTTTTCAGAATCATTTCCAATTTATCAACCACCAAGTGAAAAGGATTTTGTTTTTCATCCTAAAGGCAATTATCTATTTGTACTGATTCTGGTAAATTTGTTTGCTGTTTAATTAAGTGAAACATTTCTAGAGTGTTATCTGTATTCACTCTTCCAGCTCATGAGTACATGCAAATCTCAAACTGATAAAACTGTTAGATGATTATTTCCTGCTCACATATCCCATCAATAAAATGATAGGGATTAACAAGGGAATCAAATAGGTGTTTACAGGGTTTGACAGTGGTAAATGTGTCCTCTTGGCAGGAGGCTATGAGATTTTGCACACTTCCACATGCACTCCCCACTGTGATTTATACTCCTGCCTTCTAAAAACAGTCCAAAGGTATTGTCTGAGCAGGAAGTGAACCCAACAGCAAGTCTACTTGGAATTTTCCTTCTGTCATTGAGCAAAAAGCAAGATTGTCTTCTATTCATTTTGACTGGATTTGCATTTATTTTGAAACTGAGGGATATTTTAAAATCCAAGTATAGAAAGCACTTGGGTCTTTTGCTTTTAAGCACTAATTAACTGATCCTCCACTCTTCTGTGTTTGACTCTCCCCCCGCTTTCTTTTAGTGTAAAGCAGAAGCTAAATCAAATTTCTACTTGAATAACTCACAAAGTGTGCTTTAAAGTTCATAAGTGAGTTTTTGTTTGCTTGTGCTGAAATTGCATACCTGTGGTAGCTTCCTTCTGAAGGAAGGAACACTGAACAGCTTTCAGCCTGAAATCAGGCATAGTAATGATTCAGTAGTTCAATAAATAATTATTGAGTGAGTGAGTCTGTGGTGTGAATCCTAGGTACAATCTTCAGGTATTAATATTGTGCCTTTTCTTGTTGTGTACAATGACAAAGCTTTGATCATCAAAAATTATTGGAAAAATAATTTAAAATTCTTAAACCATCTTTGTGCATGTCACAAAATTAAATTTCTCTATGCTTTGTTGCAGGAAAACACCCATTGACACATTCCATTTCCTCTAAATACCTCTGAAACACTTGGATTTTGACCATGGATTTCACAATACATTGAAACATGCAATTATAGACCACAATGCATGCTTTCTCTTGCCTGAACTAAACCTTGAAGTCAAACTGTGGCATTGAAACACAATTGGAAAAATGTTTTTACATCCAATTGAGTGAAACCAATACTGCATTTAACTTGGTGTTTGCTGTTTTTGAAAGTATGGGTGGTTTTTTTAACTTGCTTTATGTTTGTTCTGGAAATGAAAACAATTGATTAGAAATTGATTAAAGGGAATAAAGAAACAAAATACTCTGTGTCTAGTAGTGTACTCATAGCTTTTGAGTGGGGATGGGAAATAGTATTAAAATTAATACTAGGAAAGTTGGCTGTGATAATACTAAAGTGCTTAATTCTGAAGACTGACATGCCCATTGGGCTGTATTTCCAGGCTGCCAATCTCCCTACTAGATATTTGGCGCCTTGTGACTGGCTTAAGTTTACCAGAAGAACTTATGACTGAGGTGGTTGAACCACATAAACTCTCAAGCTTTAGGAGTTCTGGAAATATGGCAACATTTGGTGTTTCTCTTGACACTGAGTGCTTATCCATAAGTGGGTGGGGCTTTCCCTGAAATCCTTTGGATCAGACCCATGATAAAAGAGGAACCCTATGAACTGCCATCATATAATTAAGAATATTTGTTGAGAAAGACATGCGGGACACCATAAAAGCGTCACTTGAACTCCAGTAACTTGTTTATAGACATATATTTTGGAAACCCCAAATTAAGTCACTTTTCTGACATGCAGAATAATATTTATCAGGGCAGTGGGTCAGAAAATTTGATATCAAGAATAACCCAGGAAGCATAGGCTCATGGGCTACTATAAGCTATGATCTAAATGTATTCACAGCCCTTTGAAGACAAACAGTGGCATTCGTGTTAATGCTTTATAGAAATGAGTATTTTTTTCTGTGTTTAAATAGATATTATAATTGAATTTTATCTGTACTATGAATATTTTGGCTTACACAGCGCAGCTCAAGTTTTCCCCTCTATTTTACTTTGAAAGGAATGCAATGTTAATTCTGAGGCATTGATGTTTTACAATGCCTGATCAAGACAAAAAGCTGAAGACCACAGAAAAACTCACTGATAAAAAACAGCAAGGAATCATCACCAGGTAACCCTTCCCTGAGTTTTTTCTAATTATTAACTGAGGTGGTGGCTGTTGAACAGATTTAAGGGCTTTTTGAGAAACTGAGTGTGTAGACTCCTGACAATTGCTACCCTGGGTTACAGTGTTTACTGAAATGTTTGATAATTTCTACAGTTCTAGGGCAAAGGGTTAGTGTGTATACATTTGACTCTGAAAGTGGGCCTCCCAGTAGCATTGACATCTGTGGGTAAAATGACCTCGTTCTCCTGTGAGTTGACATTGTCTTATTCTCTTTCCTAGGGACTATTCAGATCTTAAAAGACTTCGGTGCCTTTTGAACGTTCAGTCAAGCAAACAACAGGTAGTGTTTTCAAGGAATGTGTGTATGCTAATAAAAAGGAAAACATATGTTTCGGAAGGGATCCACTTAACATCTTTACAAACATGATAAATCTAGTTTCTTTCGCTTGCTTCTTTCGGCCGTTTCTCTCATACCTGGGTAGGGCCAGGCAAAGACTTGGCCTCCACAGCCTTTTAGTCCTTCTCTTCTTGTGCAAGTGCCCCACTTTATCCCATGCTTGTCACCAAGTGTCCCAATTACCAAGCTTTCACTCTTCTGTCTATAGACAGCAAGCTCTGTTCTTTGATGCCCATATTTGCCTCTTCAAAGCTTGAGGCAAACTGGTTTCCCAAGGCACTGTTTACCACATTTCTGTCCTTTTCCCCTCACCCTCCTAATCTTTCCCCTGCTACAGTACCACTCTTGAGGCTTGATGAAAATTGTCCTTCACCAAACAGAGGGGCAGGATTGAGTTTTGACTATTTTTGATAACATTTAAATATTTTTTATTAGTCAGGGAAAGTATGGTTCTGTTACTTTAATTTATGTCTAAATTTTCCTTTTTAGCATTGCTCCTGTACGATTTTGGAAAGTCATGAGATTAGAGGCCATCTGTGGAAGTTTGGGAACTCAGAGCAATGCTATTAATAATGACAAATAGCAAATACTTATTTTGTAAATGGAGGGATGGGACTTGAATTCTGGTTGTCTGGTTCCAAAGTCTACTATGTTATACTTGTTTATGTAAATTTGTTTAAAGAGCTCTTGTGGTATAATCCAGCCCTATTCTTCTTCTTTTTTTTTTTTTTGCTATATCAACCAAACTTACCAAAGTACTATAGTATTTTTATTCATTTATTTATTCTAGCGAATGACTTTCTACTGACTTGATAGCACATGAAAGCTAAATAATGATAATTTATATTTAAGGAAATACTGTGTATCTGATGCTTTACCTGCATTATTCTGCTTACTTATTACAACTTTGACTTTTATGAGGGAGGAAACTGAGGCACAGAGAAGTTAAATGACATTCTTAAGAGCATGCTGCCTGCTAATGGAGTATAGTTCTGAATCCAGACACTCTTATCTTTGCAGTGTGTGCCTCGGATCACCTAAATGTGTTTTAAATGAGTTTAAAAATTGAATTACAGTTGAAAAAAATGTTGGGTTGTACATTTATTTGGTGTAAAAAATGTCCTTAAAATGTCTTTTCTCTAAGAGCCAGTTTTTTATATTGTTAATCCTGTAGTCCCAGGTTATCTTGCCTTGTCTACCTGTTTTAGCCGTTACTTTACCCTTTGTCTGTCTGTATACTAAAGATAAAACAATTGCTAAACAGTTGCTGAAACAATTTCCCTAGCTCCCTTCTCACAGAACTTCATGAATGATTTGCCTTAGATCAAGTCTGTTCTTTCTGGGAGAGGTAAATGAAGTGATTTAGCCTATAGTTTTGGTTGTAGTTCCTACTTTTTCCCATTGTATATACTACACTGTAACCATAATACCAAAGACTCTGCGTTTTGCTTTTTATTCTCTTTTCCAAGATTTTCTTTCCTATGAATTCCACCTGTTTCCAAGACCCAAATCTAATGATACCATTGCTACATATTTTCCATTCTGGAAGTGATCTCTCTCTCGCTCCCCAAGGCACCGTCTTACACCACTGTAACTTTATTTTCTCCCTTTCTTTGCAAAGTCCTCTGTATATGCCTTACTTCCTCAGGAGATTAGACATTTCCTAGTGCCAGCAACTTTGACTTTTTGCGTCTGGTTCACAGTATCCTCTATTGAAGAAGTCTTTGGTCAGTTTTACTTAAATTGCATCGCGTCTTGAGAATTGAGTCATCACAGGGTATGGACAAATCTCTGGCTTGAGAAAAAGAAAATTCAACAGTGTTTAGCTTTGTTTGTTTTGTTGTTTTTTTAGCTCAAAGTTTTCAATTTTGAAGTTCATTCTGACTAAATTTATTTTGTCCCTTTTCAACACCGCTTCTGCATTCATTTAAGGTTAATTTAATGATTTTCTCTCTTCTAACCAACATTAAGAATTTTCAGTGTGTTGTCTGACAAGTTCCCATGGCCTTTTTGTTAACTACTTCACATGTACAAGAATGCATATTTGTAATGTCTGAATTATTCAGAAAGTAGATCCAAGACAAACATGAAAATAACTATCCACAATTAGATGCAGGTTCCCCAAACTTATTCCTATTTCTATTCTTAAAGCTTTATTGTATTTGTAATTCTGAAGTAAAGTTATTCTGAACACTGTATTCTTCTTTCATAAGATGTTGTAGAGACATGTATATGGGGAGGATGATTCTGGAGAGAGTAATTAAGAATTTATTTATACCTTGCTTGTTCCAGCAGTACTTTAAAGAGTAAGGATATATAAACTATGACAGGTATCATACATTGAAAGTGAAACCAAAGATAAAAGGAAAACAAGGGCTGGAAGCGAAGTAGAGTTGGGCTCAGGCAGAAATGCCCAACAAAATACACAAGGGGGTCAGTCACACATTTGGTTCTGGAATTGAAAAGGAATTTGGGATTAAGGCCTACTCACCTGAATCTGTGCTATAACAAGATGTGGCTTGCTTTTTGCAAATGGGAAGGTGGCCATTACTATTTTTAGAGGAAATCTGCCATGTTGGTTTAGGCCAAGTTGTAGAGAACTAAATGTCCTTCCTTTGAGTCTCTAATGAGCCCAAAAGCTCTTCCCTCATTGTTAACTGGCGTTGCTCTACTTTTGTTCTTTGTCCTGACTGTGTGCTTGTGTCTTTCATATCTTGCCTCAACACATTAGAATCTGATGTAGACATTCTCAGAGTCTGGCCAACCTAGGAACAGAGATACACTGAGACAGAGAGGCTCCAATCTATGTCAGAAGGGTTAGAACAGTGGAAACTTGATTAAACCAAATAATGCAAGAAAAAGAACTGTCCTGGCAGGCATGGGGGCACACACCTGTAATCCCAGCACACGGAAGGCTGAGGCAGGAGGATGGCTGTGAGTTTGAGAACAGCCTGGGCTACACAGTGAGTTCCAGGTTAGTCTCAACTACATAGTGAGACCTTGTCTCAAAAACCAAAACCAAAACCAAAACCAAAACAAAAACAAAAAAACAAAAACAAAAACAACCCAAATAAAGAACCGTCCTGCTGTTGTCAAAGCAAAGTGAAATTACAAATCTGGTTGACAATTTCATCTGAGGTTTCCACAAATCTTGAGGTATTCTGCCTAGAGCTTGAAGACAGATTTTTTTCTCTCTCTACTTGAGAGACACAGGAGACAAGAAATGTGTAGAAAAAAAAAAGATGGAAGAAATAAAATTAACTACGTTGAAAGAAATTTTGGTTGATGTTGTGGGAAAGAAATGTATGATTGTGGAGGTTTTTAATGGTCTGAGGAGTGATAAATAGGCCTGGGTAATAATGGTGCAGGGCAAAACATGGTCCTGGGTAAAGGTGTAATGGTTGTGTAATTGTGAGGAGGAAGAGGAAGCCACTTTTGGCTTGAATAACTGAGAAAGATAGGTGGTTCTTGAAAAATGGATTGGATTTCCATCCATGGAATAGATAGCAAAGGCATTCTAGTGAAGTGGAGAAAATAATCAAATATCTGGAGGAAGGACAATGACAAAGCATTTAAGCACAAGGGTGACGAGACATTTCAATTGGAAGTGGTGATAAAGGCAGAAGGACACTATGCAGTGTCTGGAGGTCCCTCCGAGGATTTTGTTCTTGATTTCATTAGTTAGGGAAGGTTGACATTTCTGAGCGGAAGTGATGTAATCAAGCTTTTAGGAAGGCCCTGCGTGATGCAGCTTTTGCTTCAGTTTCAATTCTTCCCTTTCCACTCATATTGCTCAAGTTGCGCAGGTGCCCTTTGGCTTACAATGCTCACACATTTCCTCTCTGCCTTCCACCCGGGTGACGAGCTGTCTGGGATGTTGCTGACACCTCAGTGTATGGCCTGCCTTCTCTACTTTCCACCACAACAAAGCCCTGTTCCCTATTCCTGCAGCATGTTTCCTAAACCTCTCTACTGTCTGCAACTCCTCCACTCTGTGGGTGTCTGCAAACACCTTGAAGGTGGAGAGACCAGGTTGTTCTATTTACTGTATGTCTTGCATCTCAAGTGTCTGATGTTCCCTTGTGTCTGCTACCAACATGTTGAGTAGATGCACTCATTTGGAGGCAGTTTACCAGGGCATTTTGTTGACTGGGGATAATGTGAGCAATCCTTCTGCAGCTTCACATTTGAGTGTTTCTTGTATGCCAGTCTCTGTGAGAGGTGCCACGAACAGAAAAACAGATGTGATGTCTTCAGGGTGGCTGAATTCAAAGAGAAAAGGCTAGCGTGTAAACCAGACATTGTATAATCTCACTGTGCCGTGATAGTGCTGTGAGAGAGGTGAGCTCTCTCTACAGGAAGGCTTGGGCAGGTGCTGGGGCTGGGCCGAGCGCTGCAATGCGGTGGGAGTTGCATCTGCACATGTTGATGCCGCAGAGGTCAGACAGTCGGGGGGGTCTGCGGCACCAGGGAGTGGAGAGAAAATACCATGGGCTTTGAACTTGCACTGCTTGCATCTCAAGGTGACTGCTTGCATCAAGGCTCCATGGTTAAGTTCCTGGTCTTTGTAACTATAGATGCCAACTCCATTTTATTTTTTGAGTTGCCACGAGTTGATCCTCAGTCCCAGCTGCCTGCTCTGCCTCAAAGGCAACGGTTTCTGGCTGTGCAACTGTCTGCCCTCTTCTTGAACGTGCTTGTTTTCTCAGTACTGGCTACCATTCCTCTTGCAAACAGAGTTCTGGGAACTGTATCAATGGCAAAGGGGTTTGAAACTCTTTGGAGCTGGAAAAATTCTGATTTTCTGTGTGTTATGAGAGTTCATGTCTAATACAGGAAATTTTACTTATTGCTGTGACTTCATATCTAATATTCTTTAGGTTATTTGTTTAAACTTGGAAATCACCTATCCTGTAATGACAAATTTTATTTATTTAGCAAATTAAGCTGTATAATGGGAATAATTACAAGGATGAAAAAATATTTATAAAACATAATTACGCTTCATAAATAGTAATTCACTTTACTTTCATAATAACACTATATATTATTTCCATTTTAATAATGTGGAAACCAATGCACAGAGCAATTAAGCAAATTTTCCAAGATCATGGTGGATTTAAACCCACAGAATCTGAGAATTCATTCTCTTAATCACTTAACATTGCAGCCACAAGCACTTATATTCTTTTGTTGCTCCATGCGACTTTTCTATTGGTTGATTGAACTGAGACATATTTTCTACAGTATTGAATGTTCATTATTTATATTTTGAAAAATTCAACTGTGGCTTCCATAAGACGAAGAAAGATTTTGATTTTTTTTGCTAGCTATGAAACAATTTCCCTATGGTAATTCATTTATGGGTAGTCAGAAACATTGTATTTTGATAAGAAAATAATGTTTCCATATTGATTTCTATCACATACCTCAGTGGAACAAGACACCAAGTACAACATATTATAGCTTTATTTCATATAGAGAATGGAATGATTTTCTAAAAATTAGATCTTTTGTTATATTATACTTGACTTACTTCATCTGTAATAATTATAGAACATTTTTCATTTGTACTTTGGAAAACACAAGGTATTCATCCACATCATGCTTAAGTTAATGTAGTACTAGAAACAGATCTCAAGGTTTTCTCCATTATAAATAAATATTGGTCCATGAAACTATTTGAATACTGATAACTTGACTGTTTCTCATATGAGTAACCAGTTCATCTAATAAATGGAGGCATAGTCAAGTTGTAAATTATTTTAAAAACTTCCTTTCCTTATGGTGAGTATTATATTTTAATGACTTTCATAAATAGTATTAAATAATTAGGATGTTCAGACTGATAAATGTGATAGAGTTTTATTTACCATTATATCCCAAAGCAGTGGTATACTTGGGAAATGCTGTTGATTGGATGTATGCTTGAAGAGTTGTCTCAATTAAGGCCTTTCACACTGTACTCAGTGCCATGGGTGGATCTAGAAACTTAGTTGCACCTTTCAAACACAGGAGAATCTTCAAAAACATGATGCCCAAGCCTCACCTCAGAGCTGGAGAAACAGCACTGAACAAAAATAAGCAAGTTCTTGCTTGTATTAAGGTGACATTTGTATCAAGGGGGACTGGAAATATGTAAATAACTTGCAATACATAAATAACATAAGCTACGATATGACAAGTGGTACTAAAAGTTATGAAGACAAATTAGTGTAAGGAAGAGAAAGTAAGTAAATGCTTAACTCAAAGACGCTTAAATCTTTAAAGTCTTACATTTATCATTGTGTTACCAGTGTGTAGGGGAGTTTGTTCTATTCGTCCTCCCCTCTGTCTCCCCCCATGTTGTTACTTTCTTTATCCGGGGCTGAACTGTGATCCTCACGTATTCTGGCTTCTATTTCTGTAGCTTCCAGCCATTAACTTTGAGAGTGCCCAAAATAGCATGACGAAGTCGGAGACCGCCATCAAGGCAGGTGGGCACAGAGCTCGAGGTCAGTGGCGCGAGTCCACAGAAGCTGTTGAACTTGAAAATTTTAGGTAAGAAATCTCCCTGCCCTTCAGCAGCCTGCCCCATTTAAGTTTGCACCAAGTGCTACAATTTAAAAGCTATCTCAAAATTTACCGTGGAGATTCTTAGTTTAACAATTTGGTTGGTGCTTAAACCATTCCCAGAAACAATGCATAAATAACAAGCTTAATAGTCACAGGTGAAACTGAGCTGGGACACTGTGGTGGCATATATTTGGCGTTAGTTCAATGAGGAAATGGTTCCAGGTTGTTGACCTGGATCGGCCAATGCCAAGCTTTGTCTTAGCTTTTGGTCTGTCTACAATTTGCTGGTCATAAGAAGACAAAAGAATCTGTTGCTGTGAGCAGATGTGATGGCTAAAGAATGTGGTAGTCAAAACAACAGCAGTTTCCAGTTGCAAGGATAGCAGCTCACTTTTAATGTCAAGAGTGGCAGTCCATGTTTATCTCAGTTGCCAAGTAGACCTTCTAGAAGCTGCGCATTCTCATGGGCCACTCCCCTTGCAGGAGCTGGTTCTTTCAGTTTTATAATGTTCCTGGGTCACCGAGTACCATGTAAATAATGAATGGGATCAGACATCAACATGACTATTCCAGAATGATCATTTACTTATTTGACCAAGTTTGTTTCTCTATTATCTTATAAATGAAAATGGTCCAGAAATCTACATGACATTACCTAGGATCATATTTTTCAAAATATATATTTAATCAGAAATGCTAAATAATCTTTCTTATGTATTCCATTCATGAGTATCCATGTACTAAGAAATCTCTATAGCCCTTACCTGGTCAGGAAGGGGACACACAGGAGAATGGCATCTGAAAGACAGTACAGGCAGAATGGTTACCAGTGACAACAGAAGGTCACAAAACTTGCTTTTGAAATGGTAAATTCATTCAGTTTCACTTTATTTGGCCTACATCTTAAAACTAGTCTGTTTTAACATGCACCAAAATATAGGTTCTGCAAAATGTGATAATTATGTGCATTATCTTTTATGTCCCCTGGCTTTGAAGTAGAATGTCTTGGGAGTATTTGTAAATCTCTTTAGTAGCATGAAATATCAGCAAAAAGAAATTACAGTTGGAATATCTCCAAATTTTATTAAACATACACAAAACATAAACAATCAACAATCAGCAGTCAGCACAGCTGAAAGAGTGCAGACTAGATAAATCAAGCCGTCAAGGCTGGAGGAATGTAAACTGTCAATGAACCCCTATTATCTAGTAAGAAAGGCAGGAGACAATCCATGATATAACATATAGAGCAACTAATGGAGTTGAGTGTGACTGGAAAGAGAAGGGAGAAAATTCTCCTCTGTTTGTGGCCCAGCTGTCTAGGTGAGGGCCCTAGATACTCTTTTTCTGTGTATCCTTTTATTTCCTCCAACCCATTTTAGCTGGTAAGTTTTTAAAGATAATTACTTAATTAACAAGGTAAGATGGAACACATATGATTGACTATCTTTGCTGTTTACAACTGAATTTCTATTTCCTATTTCAACAGCTGATACTTGCTTTTAGCAATAATATGTTGAACCTCAAGACTCCAACCATATTTGTCTGAAGCTAGATGGCCTTTGCTTTGTTAGCATGGAGACAGCCTTAGTTATTTTTATTGCAAAATACTTTTCTGTTTGTCTTATCACAGTATAAACTACAAGAATGAGAGAAATTTCAGCAAACATCCCCAGCATAAATTGTTTCAGGAGATCTTTACAGCTTTGGTGAAAAATAGACTCATCTGCAGGTAAGAGTGTTCCCCAAAAGCAGAGCTTTACCAGAGAATGACACATTTCATATGTCTTATATGTGGAATATGATTTAAAGCAATTTACTAGGCTGAGCACAAAATAGAGGAAAGGCTGTTTAGAAGGAGGAGAATGAGCGGGCATTGCGTTTGATCTCTCTAAAATCACTGGTTAGGTACTGAATTTAGATGAATTTGATGACAGGAAAGGTAAAGTAGGAAAGCACTCAAGTTACACTGGTTTTCTTACTCTCCTCATTTTGAGTTTGGATACTCAAGGAGGAGTTCATTGCGTGGGTCCCTATGAAAGAGACACTGGGTAATACCATGGACTGTGTTCTTCATGTCTTACTTTCACGGTTGACACGATGACTGCTTACATGGACGCCCCAGCCTTGGCCTGAAGGAAAAAAAAAAGGAGTGTGGAGCACGCAGTCACAGCCTCATGGAGATCTCTTCTCAGGATCACCTCTGATGTTTTTTCTCTTGCGCTGTGACCTGCCTGAACATAGATGCAGTGTTTGGGACTGCAGAGGAAGGCTTAGTTGTGTGTAGTCAAGAGCCATATATTGCAGATACTGGGGACTTCAGGCCCTGGAGTGCAGTCGGCATTCAACTTTTTAATCCATTCTGACGGCTTCACTTGGGAGCTGGGTGTGCTCCTGCTGTAGATGAAGGAGGCTCTTGTGGTAGGACCCTGCTTTTTGCTCTTTCCAAGATGCCCAGGCTCACTCCGAAGGCATCAACTGAAAAGATGACAACAAAGAAACTAAAGTCCTACTCATCCCCTTGGGACTTGATTGAGATATCTGAATTCTGTCTTAGTGAAAAATAAAATAAGAATGTTAATTATTTAAAGCCTGAACCAAAATAACACCCTGACTTTGCCCAGTGCAATAGTTGCTTTGTTTTCCCCTTACCGGGGATCAAACTCAGGACCTTGCGCTTTGCCAGGTAGGCGTGGTGCTGCTGAGCTAACTCCCGGCTAACAGTGATTGACCTTAAACAGAAGACTATCCTGATGGACCCTCCACTGATTGTCAAGGGCTAAATACCTGCCTAGGTGGTGGCCTGATGACTTGGTCTTTTGAATGGGGTCATTTAATACTGCACAGACACTGCCAAATACTCTGGTTTAGTTTTAAAGAATACAGGTCTGGAACAGCATCTGGCGTGCCTTTATATTTGGCTTAACCTAAGAATTTTTAGGCTGGCTCAGATGATAAAAGAAACCTAAAATCTTTTCTCAAGTGTAATTGGATTATTGCTCAGTTCTCAATGATACACACAGAGACTGTTGAAACATTAAGGAAGATTGCAAAGGACTTGAAGCTGCCCTTGAATAATGATTAGCAGCAGAATAATGATATCAGGACATAAAATTCTTTAATTTTTTGAAAACAACTAACATGAACTCTTTAAAGGATATCCAGTAGGACAGTTGTCATTGCGAGGTCAGAACTTTGGGGAAGGCCCCAGATACAAAAATCATTAGGGAAAATAGCAGGCCAAGGGTGGGCATTGACTGGTTAGAGAAGATCTTAACAATTCTAAAGTTAAGGGATCTCTTACTTAAGTGATTAATAGGACATCTTAGATCAGATAGAGTTGCTTTTGTTTGTAATATGAGCAGTCCCTGGAAATCTTCAAACCAGGAAGAGGTAATTTAGGCTTCCTTGCTTTCATAACACAAGAAGGAATTTAGGAATGCTGAGCATCAGGAACATCCTTCTGTGTCATCCTTTGGCTGATGACAGATCGCTATGTTCACTTCTATTCTAAAAGCAGGGCTGGGTAAAAGTTAAGGATTAAAGGACTTCTATTGTCCCTCACCTCATGTAACCTTGCTATGATGGCCTCACTCTCTTTTTTTTTCTTGTGACTTTTAATTTAGAGTTACAATTTAGGGCTTCTTTTGGTATGGCTTCCTATCCCCTTTCATTGTGAACATTAGGTTTAGTGTTGGATAGGAAGCTGAGGTTCAATTTCTCTCTCTCTCTCTCTCTCTTTCTCAGTACCAGGGATTGAACTCAAGACCTTGCACTTAGTAAGGCAGGCGTAATGCCACTGAGCTACATCCCCTGTCCTTGAGATTCAGTTTCTTACAGTGGCAAAGAACTACTATGTTCAAGGAAGGGAGGATACAAATAGTGGAGAAGGATGAGAGGGTGAAAATACAAAGATGAATAGGAGATGTGGTTCCTTTCTTCCTGAAGACTCATAGCCGCTCTGACCAGCAAATAAATTACTTACTATCCCACTAAAAGGGAAAAGATGGGAAATATATTCAATTTATATTAAAACAATTAAAGGCTGAAGGAGATTTTTTGGAGGGAGGTGGATCTTTGGTTCTTAGTCCCATTCGTGCTATAGACAAGAGTGGGAATGTTTAGGATATTATGATGCTTACTTACCCTTAAGATATGGCTGATTTGGAACATAGACTCAAGACATAAAGCATGAGCCATTCCAGTTCCTCCAGGTTTCTGCTCACTGATGGTCAGGTTGTGGCTTTTCTTCTGTCTTGCTCTCTGTAGTTGCAGTCTTCCTCTTGTCCACACTTTTAGACATCTCCTTCTAGGTTCTTTCTGAAGCCTGGCCTGTGATTACTCCCTCATTCTCAGAGACATGCCAGGTGGCATCTGAAACTAGACAGACTTGTTAATCCAGAGTCAGATAAGGTAACACTGCAATTACCTCACGGGAAATCTGAAAGGGCAAGGGAAAATACTGTCCCAAAAGTGAAGGTTACACAACACTGGCTAATCTTGAAGCGTGGCAGGATATGAAATGTATTTTAATCTCCCAGCCTTTCTTTTTGTGATAACATAATTTGTCTGTAGTAGAGACTGATGTTAGAAAATAAATTCACCCCTTTACCTCTCATCTGACTGAACAAGAAAATAAAAGTGCTCAGTATTCAAGACCAGATTGTTAGGAGATTGTTAGGAGGTTGTTTAGGGAGGTAAAACTTGTCACACCATTGATATATTCTCTATTAACTGAGCACTTATACAACTGAACTCTACGCAAATGTCTCTTCTGGGTATCTGCTTCTCCTTGCTCCCTCTTTGTTGGTCTGTCTATTCTTTGCTGACTTAAAGATGCTGTAGCACAGTGAGAATATAATTTACCTTGTGAAATCAGCTTGCACATCTTGCAAAAGATTACAGGGTTTCATGAAATTATTAGAGTGATGGTGCTGAACTGGTGGAATCTAACAAATGAGGCTCTGGCAGAATTAGGCCACTTGACATTTGATGAAAAGGGTATTAGTGGGGAAGATGGCAATGTAAGAGTATGTATTGAATAACAAAATCAGGAGGGGCCTTTTGGGGTATTGCAGGGAGATGAATCTTTCTAATATAATGACAAAAATGGACCTCTTTGTGCGACAAAAGTGAATTAAATAATATTAGATCATGTTCTTTATTTTTTTTCAGAGAAAGCATGCCAGAATACTAGCAGAATTCATTCTAGCTTTGATTTAGTTAGTAAGGCAGTATAATTTAAGTTTTGTTAAATGTAAGGTAAAATATGTCTCAATTTCACAGTTTATTGTGCTCACTTCGGCAGCACATATACTAAAATTTCACAGTTTATTTTTTAAGGTGTTACTTTAATCTTTCCTTCTACTCCTTAACACGGAATTTAGAACATTCACTTAGCTGGCCCTTCCTGGTACTATTGTTCTGGGATAACCAGGCTCTCTTCCTCCTGCTATAACTTTTGTAAGAGAGACTCCCCAGGTAGTCTCATTTTAGTTAGAAGAAACCCACGCATCCATTTACTACAACCCTACCTGTCCAAAAATTCACTCACTTTTCTAAAAGAAGTTGGCATCCTTATTATTTTATATTCACTTTCCTGAACTACCTGCGATACACTTTAAACATTTTGGAAATGAGTCTGTAGGCTGTAGAGATGGGGAATATATTTATATTACATAGAAGAGAGAACTTCTTGAGCAAGAAGAAAACATCTGTCCAGACCATGATAGTCTTATTAGAGACTTCTATAAAAATTGTTCTGGGAACATCATAGATGCTTTTAATCAACAGGAACAATACAGCATTCGTTGAACAATCAGCCTTTGCTGTCCATGTCATCTCCTGGGCTAGATCATGATGCAGTGCTTCTTTTTCCTTTTGTGCTTCACCTGGTCCTTTAGCCTTCATTTTCCAGACTTTCTCACGGAGGACAGTGAGATGAGAGGACTAGAATTTAGGATGTATTGAGAATCTCTAGTAAAATCTCTTTAGTCGATGAATAAATTTAAGTTCTTGAAATACAAGCAGTTGCTGGGAAGAGGCTTGTTCTGTGGACTTTATCTCATCACACAGTAGAGCAACCAGTCAAGTTTCCTCCCTGCCCAGGAGAGGAGAAGCCTGGCCATTTGGGGTTCCCTGTTACACAGTTCAGAATTCTGTAGGAAATAGGTCAAGTCAGCAAAATAAAGTGGATACAATAAAGTGGCTTCTTTAAGGCCCTCAACATCTGAAGCTGTGCCTTTATGCACCTTCAATCTTCCGATGGCTTGTTCCTCTGCTGGTCTACAAAGCTCTTGAAGATCTTGTTCCTTCTTGGCCTCAGAGACTGGTGAGCTCCTGGAGACCAAGACCTGGGTCTTACATCCCAAATCAAGCCATGGATGCAGGGTTCATCAGAGAATATCAAGACTGAAATTCTTCACTTGGAATTTCTTTCCATTCAATTATTTGGATCAGGTTAAAAATTTGAAAAATACAGAAAATTATAAAAAATAAAAATATATCCTGCACATGTGGACCTCAAGAAAATAATGATTTCTTTTCTTCATGTTACCTAACTTGGAACAGATTTCCAGCTCTTACACTTTTAATTTCTCATGAAATGTCACTTAGGATATAGCCCATTTAAAAAATATGCACACACAAGCACACGCACACACACACACACACACACACACAGGTGCATGTGTGAAATCTCAAAATCACAGAGATGTAATGGGCTCTGAAGAA